TGGTGCAGGGTGGGGGTCCCCACTGGGGTGCCTGGCCAGTCTGGGTGAGGGGCTGAGGGCCGTTTTCAGGCTGGTGAGTGACTGAAGCTCCCAACCTCTCCTTTTTTCCTTTTTTTTTTATTCTGGCCCAGCTTTAGCTTTCAGGCTTGGCTCCAGCTCTTAGGCCTCCGCTGCTGAAAGTAGGTCGCTGGCCTTTGCTTACAGTGTTGCGATCCTGCTGGCTGAAGCCCGGCAGACTAAAGCAGGTTTCTTGGGTTTTGTTTAGCTTCTATATTTGTTACATAGTTGCTTAGAGTTGCAGCTCAGAGGCCGGCAGCGGCAGGCGGGGAATGTTGGAGTCCTCCGTCACTGAAGCAAGGAAGCTTCATGTTAGTTTCAAGCTGCCTGGCTGCCAGCCGCCATCTTGGCTGGCAGTTAATTTGCATATTGCCCTGATTAGCCAATGGGAAGGGTAGCGATCATACGCTAATGACCATGTTTCTCTTTTATTAGATAGGATAAGCGAAAAGTGAAAAATGTCTTTTTACTTTATTTTCTAGGCACTTAGTAAATGCCAGCTATGAACCAGACACCCAGTTTATTCAGGAGATCATAACCAAAACCTGCACTAACCTTTCTTATACTTTTTTAGGACCAGCAATTCTTGCCCTGGGCAGTTTGGCTCAGTTCGTTGGGCATCAGCTTGTGCATCAAAAGATTGCTGGTTCAATTCCAGGTCCGGGTACATGCCCGGTTTGCAGCATCAACCCCTGGTAGAGTGCATGCAGGAGGCAGCCAATTGATGTTGCACTCTCATATTGATGTTTCTCTCTTCTCCTTCTTTCTCTAAAATCAATATTAAAAAAAAAAAAAGAACTAGTGTTCTGTGAATTATATCTTGTACTTAGTACTGTGTGAATTCCTGTATAATTTTCATTAAAACTGTTAAATATTAGAGGGATATGCCATTTGAAACTTTCTAACCACCATTTGTTTTAATATTCATATTTTCATATGTATCGAATTCCAAAGTTAGAAGTGACCTTAATGGTCTTCAATTTTATCTCTTTCAGGGTGGATAAATGAATTAAAGATTAATGGATAAGTGGAAGTAGAATCTAGGTCTTCTGACTTCAGTTGAATAATTTTCTCTACTCAACAATAAAATCTAAAGAGAATTTTTACTACTCTCTGATGATTTATAAAATAGGTCAAACTGTGTAAATTTCTTGAAAGCTCTCGTGGAACTAATGTAATAATTTTTTTTTTTAAATATAGTTTTTATGGAAATGGAAACCTAGCTTTCTCCCCTTGTCACTAAAAATGGGGATTATAGGCCTATTGATACTTAATATAAATTTCAACACAGGATGTTGTACAGTCTTTTGTCTATTTTATCAGAAGTCCTGTAAAAATGAGAGGCATTTCATATCAAAAGGAACTTGAGCACCCATGTCTGTATTTTTTAGACTTTAACAAATTTTTAATAATGTTTTAAAAATTGATTCTGGCCCTAGCTGATTTGTCTCAGTGGATAGAGTGTCAGCCTGTGGACTGAAAGGTCTCGGGTTCAGTTCTGGTCAAGAGCACATACCTGTGTTGCAGGCTCAATCCCCAGTAGGGGACATGCAGGGGGCAGCCGATCAATGATTTTCTCTCATCATTGATGTTTCTATCTCTCTCTTCCTCTCCCTTCCTCTCTGAAATCAATAAAAATTTATTTTTAAAAATTGATTCTGAATTTGGATAGCCATTTCCTTTCTAATATATTATGTCCTTCTAGCATAGTAAAGTAAGGGTATTTAGATTAGATTGCATCTTCTATTGTCAGTGGCAGGTGGGTGATGACAATAACTACCCTTTATTGAGCTTTTCTATGTGTACTTAATACATTATGTCATCAATCTTCATAACAACTATCTGTGATAAGGTACTGTTATTATGCCCTTTTCCTAATGAGAAAGCAGACTCCAAGAAGTCAGGTAACTTTCCCTTGTCATATGCTAGTAAGTAAAAAACTAGAGATTTGAACTCGAACTTTCTATTTTTTGCTTCTTAACCTTTATAGTTAGTGCCAAAACTTATTTACTATTTTTTGAAATTGCTCTTTTATAAATCATCTTCATCCTGAGTAATACTATACATGAAATCACAGGTTTTATGTGACAGTTATATTTTTCTAATATTAGCACAAATGTGTAATTATAAAAAGTTTTTTAAGTTCTTGGTGCCAACTAAAATCATCTCAAGTATCAAAATTGGGGGAAACTCCACTGCATTCTATTTTTAAGGCTAAACTAAGTTTTTTCTTCCCTGGGAAATTAATAAACTTGTTCATTTAGCATATTGCTAGTTCTGAAAGGCTAGTTTTGTTTTGTATGAAAAAATAAACACATAATTACAAAAAGGAGATATTAATATTAATGTTTTCCAAAATAATTATAAATAGGCTATTTTTATTTTCAATAAGGATTAAAAATATTTGAATATGTTAAATTTTTATAACCCAGACAAATATTAGATGGATTGTTTCATTGGAATGTAGTTTTTTATTTTGTTATCTGCTTTAATCAACTATTACCTGACAGGTGCTGGAGTTATTAATTCACAGAGATGGGGAATTTCAGGAACTAATGAAATTGGCACTTAATCAGGGAAAAATTCACCATGAAATGCAAGTTTTAGAAAAAGAAGTTGAGAAGAGAGACAGTGATATTCAGCAGTTACAAAAACAGCTAAAGGAAGCTGAACAAATACTGGTAAGTTGGCAGTCTGGTTCTTTAACAAAGATATTGTTTATTTCATGTATTCTTGAAAAATAAGCCTACTATTAGTATTTTTTAATTGATTTTTAGAGAGAGAGAGAGAGGAAGCGACAGGGAGAAAAAGAGAGAAGCATTGTTGATGTGAGAGAATAACATCGATCAGCTGCGTCCTGCACATCCCCTACCAGGGACCAAGCCTGCAACCTGGGCCCTAAACTGAAATTGAACTGGCAACCTTTTGGTGCACAGAACAGTGTCCCACCATTGAGCAACACCAGTTAGGGCTCTATTATCAGTATTTTGAAGGGGCAGAAACTTGATTTTCCAAGTCTGAAAGTGACAACTTTTCAGTTTGGTCAAATATTTCAAAATCTGTAAAAATATGTACCAATTTTATAAATTGATTAAAATTTATATTAGTTAGTCTTCCATCCTAAACTAGGTGGGATTAGGATAGATGTCAAGGGCTCTAGTTTTTCTTTTTCTTGTTCTTGGCTACTGTTTCAAAGAGGCAATTTATTTGCTATTATTTGCCCAGTTATTTCACTATATACTAACTAATGTAATTGTTGTATGGTGGTGTTGCAGACACAACTGTGTTTGATTTTCATATGGATCAGACATAGCTGGCTTTCTTGACCCTGATAAATCTCTCCAAAATGTGTCAAAGTGGGCTCCAATATATAGAAGCCTGAGCAGTTTGGGATAAATTAACCACTCCTACTACAGAAATGACCCCAAGTAAAAACTTCTTTTGTTTTTTCTTTCCTTTACTTGTTTTGTTTTGGGGTGGTTTTTTTTGCTTCCAAGTAAATACTTCTAATAAAACCTATTTTTCATTAAAAAAGTAACACAGTGGAACCTCAGTTTTGTTCCAGAAGGCTGTTCAAGAAGCGATTTGTTTGAAAATTGAATCACATTTTCACATTAGAAATAATATAAATTGAATTAATCCATTCCAGACCCCCAAATGATTTCCTGTTTTGACCTTTCTTATATACAGTATATGCCTAATATACTGTTTAATCTATAAACAAACACTTCTTTTCTTAAATTTATCGAACCACCCCATACTTGCCTTAAAGAAATCATTTTCAGCGCTCATTCCAGGGGTGTCTTTCAGGTCCGTACGCAGCATCTTTGTGAGTTCATATATCACTGCCTCCAAAATGCTTTCACTGCTAACTGCTTTTCATTTATCCAAATCAACAAGTTTTTTTATGTCTTCAATTGCCTATAATCATTGCTTCTTTCACACCCTTAGCAACATTAGCTGGGAGCCCTCAGGAAATGTCCTTCTGACGGCTTAGGCCCACTCCCCATAGGGCCGCAGTCTGACCTTCCTCTGTGGGAGGCAACCGGCCAATCAGGGAAGGGCAATGCTCCCATCACTCCTCTGCTGCTGCCACTGCCAACCAGGTGGTCCCTTTATGTTTTAAAATTGTACTAGTCTGTTTGATTTCACCAGCAACAAAAGCATTCTCTCCTTAGTTGCCTGAGAGATGCTTTTTGTCATGCTGATATATCAGCATGAAAGGGTTGTCAGGCCCAAAACCTAAGTTTGGTTCCACAACTGAGACATTTTTTTCTGTGAACAACTTGGTTGAGAAATGAATTGTTCAAGGTGGGAGATGTTCCAGAAACTAGGTTTGCCTATCAAAGGATATTCAGAAAATACAAAAAAAGGAGAAAGAAGAGGGAAAATTGCCTTTAGTCGCACTGCTCAAAGACTGCCACTATTTACAGTTTGGCGTAGATCCTTCTAGTCTCAGATGTGTATTTTTTTATCTATTTTAATTAATAAGGTACTAATTGACATTCTATTACTATTTATTAAAATCAAAGCATTTTTATATAATTACATCATTTAGTTTTCTAACTTTCTGTTACAAAGAATACTTTGATGAATATTCTTTCAGAAAAGCCTTTTTACTTTTGCATTTCGGATTATATTCTTTGGATTAAGTTTCAAATATAATTATTGAGTTAAAGACAGTGAACACTGAATTTTATGATATAGGTAATAGCAACTGACATTTATTGATCACTTGTGCACCAGGCCCTGTACTTTACTCTTCACTTGCATTATCTCAATCTTCATAGCAATTATATAAAGTCATTTTGCATTTTAAAGATGAAGAAACCAAGATTTTAAGGAGGGTAAAAAGTAGAGATGTAACTTAAACATAAATCTCTTCAATGCCATATTCTTAACCACTGTATTATAGTTGAGGTTGCATATACTAGGTTAACCTCATTTTACCCTTCAGTGTACCTGTGTGAGAAATGGGGTGAGGAGTTCATATAGTAGTCACTAAGCATGAAGGTAATGGTAATATATAAATGAATAAGAGATCAATGCAAGAATATATCTTGTAAATTAAAAAATAAATTTTTAGATATTTTATTCTTGAATTAGGTGGAAGAATAGGATGCTTTGGGGTTGGTTCATGGTCTAGATCTCTTCTGAATGATGGACATAAAGAAAAATGTTGGGCTGAAACCGGTTTGGCTCAGTGGATAGAGCGTCAGCCTGTGGACTGAAAGGTCCCAGGTTCGATTCCAGTCAAGGGCATGTACCTTGGTTGCGGGCACATCCCCAGTGGGAGGTGTGCAGGAGGCAGCTGATCGATGTTTCTTTCTCATCGATGTTTCTAACTCTCTATCTCTCTCCCTTCCTCTCTGTAAAAAATTAATAAAATATATTTTTTTTAAAAAAAGAAAAATGTTGGTAAACAATTCAATTTATATGTTATGTCTAACAAGTAATTGTGAATGGAGACTAATTCATGAATATAATATTTGCTTCATTAAGTATAGGTGTGATATAAATGATATCCAGTGCTGTTTCAGAATATTACAAATAAATTGGGATTTCCAAATTGGATATTGTTCCTGTGGGATAAGTGATACTGTGAATTAAGCAAAAAAAAACACAAAAAACTGGGCTTGATATTGTGAAGAATAAACCATATTTCTCTTTAATGTTCTTTAGGCAACAGCTGTTTACCAAGCAAAAGAAAAACTGAAATCAATAGATAAGGCAAGAAAAGGTTAGTACTACTGAATGACTTTCTGCAAAAAAATCAACTTTTAGTCTCAAGAAACTGATGAGAGTATTATTAGTAATCATTTGCTACTGTCAAAAGGTTCCAGTAAATTTTCTTTATAAAGTGTCAGCTATGTTTTAGTTCTGTGCCCAAGTATTACATCTTCTTTCAGCTATAAAAAGCAATAATAAAAGGCAAGTAATGGCTATGTACTCAAATGTGCAGTAAAGACAATAACTTTAAAAAATTGTTGGAAAAAGAGAACTGTGAGCTGGAAGCGAGTGGGATTTGAATTGAGTCTTGAAAGATAGGACTGAGAATGAAAGGAAAACATCCATTGGACAATTGTAGTGGGACTAAGACCATCATGAAGTTAGAACGAGTTATGTCTTTGGGATGTATACATGCAGAAACAAAGCATGCCTTCCTGTTCCCTCCTGCTTCACTCTAAAAGGCTCCCTTTTGGGATCTTTTTGGATCTTTTATTTTGCATACTAAAAGTCAGAATTGTAATGAAAACTCTGGCTGCTTCCGTTTAATAATCTACATATAATGATCTCAGACTTGTCGAACTTTCCTCTTTTCCTGTTTCAGATAACTATTGATATTTGGTGTATATCTTTCCAGAATTTTTTCTTTGTTGTTGTTTTTGTTAATCCTCATCCGAGGATAGTTTCCCATTGATTTTTAGGGAGACTGGGAGAGAGAGGGAAGGACAGAAAGAAACATCGATGTGAGAAACACACATTGATTGGTTGCCTCCTACATGAGCCCCAACCAGCCCGGGCCGGGGAGGAGCCTGCAACCGAGGTATGTGCCCTTGACTAGAATGGAACCCAGAACCCTTTGGTCGGCAGGCCGACGCTCTATCTACTGAGCCAAACTGGCTAGGGCAGGTTTGTTGTTTTTTTAGATCTATAAATACATATATAACAAGATCAGTACAAATACCTATGTATACATATACCAGTATTCTAAAAAAAAAAGGTCACATTGTACATATTACTTCACAGCCATTTTTTTTTCTTAATGAATATATTGTAAACATCTTTCTACTTAGGTCTACTTATAAGCTTAGAGTCCGTTATGTTAACAGTTGAGTGATACAGTGTGAACTGATGCTCTGATTTGGATATCACTGGGAAATGAAATATTATGTTCTCTTTTATATGTGTTCACTGTTGCTTTCAGAATAGTAATAGTATTTAATGGTAGTTAAAAATTGAGGTTATTGAGCATTGTCATGATAGTCTCCCAAATTTAATACTTTTTAAAATTTTTTTATTAAATCTTTATTGTTCAGATTATTAAAGTTGTTCCTCTTTTTTCCCTCCCATATCTCCCCTCAACCTGATTCCCAACCCACCCTCTGCCCTTACCCCCCACCCCCCCCTGTCCTCATCCATAGGTGTACGATTTTTGTCAAGTCTCTTCCCCCACCCCCCACACCCTTTCCCCCGCAAGAATT